ACTATGCTAAGTGAAATAAAGCCGTCTCAGGAAGATAAACATTGTGTGATTCCACGTATATGAAGCACTCAAATCCGTGGAGATGGGAAGTAGAATGGCAGTTTGCAGGGGCTGGGAGGTGCGGGAATGGGGAGTTATTGTTTAGTGGGTATTGAGTTTCTGTTTTATAAGATGAAGAGAGTTCTGGAGACTGGTTGCACAACAGGGTAAATATAATTTAACACTATTGAACTGTACCCTTTAATATGGTTAAGGTAACCCTAACTGGTTTGGCTCAGTGGATAGAATGTCAGCCTGCAGACTGAAAGGTCCCAGGTTCGATTCCGGTCAAGGGCATGTACCTTGGTTGCAGGCACATCCCCAGTAGGAGGTGTGTAGGAGGCAGCTGATCAATGTTTCTCTCTCATCGATGTTTCTAATTCTCTATCCCTCTCCCTTCCTCTCTGTAGAAAATGAATAAAATATATATTTTTTAAAAAGACAAGAAATAAAAAATGTTAAAAAATAATGGTTAAGGTGGTAAATGTTATGATTTTTAAGATGTGTGTATGTGTGTGTTTGAAAAGTACTATGAACTGGGAGATGGAAAAGATGGACACCTCATATCCTGTGAGCATGAATGTAAATTGGTGCAATTTGTTTGCATTAGAGTGTGGCTCTAGGCATAAAGGAATTTTTATATGGCGATACCCTCTGTCCCAGTCGTTCTATTTATTAAATATCTTAAGGGAAGCAATCTCAAATGCAGACCAACTTTATGCCTAAAGGATGTTTCTGCACTATTTTCACAAAGAACTGAAAACAAGCTAACATCTACCAGTGGGCATGGGAAGCAGAGAGGACCAGGAAGTGTCAGGAGGGCTGGGCAGCCCACAGCAGGGCTGCAGGGCTGGGGCCAGGGCCGCAGGACCCCAGGGCCTTAGGGCATGAGGGTCTTGCAGGAGCAAGAGAGGTGCAGGCTTGGGAAGCTACAGCCCCAGAAATTGATCAACACAGAGACTTGGCATATTTTGCAAGACATCGTTTGAGAATGAGAAGAGTCATTTGCAAGTAACACAGACGCATTAATAAATGTTTTTGTGTATAAAAGAGAGTCAAGCGTAGTCCTCACAAACACGGGATTGGGATCAGAAAGACTTGGGCTGGAGTCCTAGCTCTAGCACTACTGTGAGACTTGGGATAACCCGAGTTCAGGTGAAAACCTAGACTTTGTGATGGTTTCCCCCACGTTCCAATGGGAGCCACCATGGCGCCCACCACGTGGAATGTGTGAGAGTATTTGATGAGGGAACTCGTAAGGAGCCTGTGGTAGACACACCATCAATATTAGCTGAGTGATTAGTCAACACAAATGTCCCCAACCTCAAGTCATTTCCAAAACATTCCTTCCATCTTTTCTTCTGTGTCTGGTGTTGCTGCTTCTTTGGTTTTATGACTCCTCAGCTGTGTGTTTCCTTGTCTGAGGATCTTCTCCTTCTGCCCCCACAGGACAAGGGGACTGTCACTTGGCTTGGAGTGGGCTGGAGTGAGGTGAGTACCTTCTCTTCACTAGCAGCTGGCAGAGCCCAGCAGACAGGGAAACACAGTGCATTGAGTCCATTTGGCACTTGTGGCCTTTCTTCCCTGAAAGAAACACCAGAGACAGAGCCCCTCGCTGCTCCCTGTTGCTCAGCTGGCTCACCTCTGACCCCACAATTTGTTTTCTCTTCCCCAAGAGTGAAGCAACACCTCCTTCCAGCTGGACACAGACTGGTGAGCTGAAGGGGAAACTCTGAGATCCCACTGCTGACACCATGACCTCAGAAGCTGACGGGATCTGCCCAGGTAGTCAGCCTCCTCCTCTCCAGCTGGTTCCTGCTCATGATCTAGAATTGAGGGAGGCACCTCCAAACTGGGTTAAGCTCCACAAGAATCAAGAACCTCCAAGGGGATTGATGAGTGTCTCTGAGCCCCCAAGAGGGTCAAGGGAAGTCCCCTCAACCAGAAGTCTATGTGGGGACTTCCTTCCTGGCTCTCTCCTCAGGCTGCTCACTGCCTCCCATCTTCAGCAACTCATGAAATGTCTCCAGTGAGGCCAGGACAGCCCATGGGTGGTGGGAATTTCTTGTTCACTGTAACTGGAACCTGCTAGTTCCTGGTGGAAACCTTCCCCTCCAAATACTGCCACCTCCCACAGCTGTGCTGGGCCCTGACCTGTGCTCCCAATTATAAACACCTGTGTACCAGGTGTGACTGTCAGGCAGGAACTTCTTCTGTTGATCTCAGATACCCCTGCAGAGGCCCGCTTTGTTATTGCCCACACCCACCCACAGCCTAGCCTACAAATACACAGATGCAGTGCTCTGGGTTCCCTCTATCTAAACCCCTGCTTTACTTTCTCCCTCAGTGGGTGAAGCAAGAAAAGGAAAAAACACCCCTCCACCCACCCACATCAACACTGCATTGCCTAGGCAACCAAATCACCCCCCACCCCCCCCCCACCCCCAGGAGAGGATAAAACTTGTTCCTGTTGCAGCATAAGGGAGGAGAGGACAGATCAGAAGCCTGCAGCTCCTGAGCAGACTCTCAGATCCATTCATTCCTAAGGACAAACAAGATGACCTCTTGTTTAAGAAGTGGGCAAGGGTGGGGTCAGAGGTGCCCAGGGGAGCTGTGGCCCCTGAGACCAGCCTGGAGGGGAAGAGCTGATACTGATTGATCACAGGGTTAGAGCTGAGGCTCCAACCCCCACCCACCTGAAGACATCCCTACACTGCCCACCTTGGAGCAACTGTGAGAAGCAGGAGGAATCCTATTTGCCTGGTAGTTTTACTCCATCAGTGGTGTGTGGTCTGAAACATTATTTTCAAATTTATAAAAAATCCTATAGGTGAACTCTAGGGTAGAACGCAGAAATCACATGAATTTTTGAAACATAAGGATGCTTTGACCTACTGTAAGGAAATATATGACCAGTGACCTTTGATTGCACCTTTGAGCTTTCTGCTTTTTGGCTTGGGCCTTCTTTTCCTGTCTGAGTTTCACTTTCTTTGTCTGTGAAATAAGAATAATGTCCCTTGTGTGTATATGGCAGGAAACACATTTAGAGCATGTCTCTGTACACACAAAATATACACCAGTCCCCAGTTCCTTATCTGCATTTCCAGAGTCTCCAAATCCCTGAAAGTCACACATTTTTTAAAAGATTTATAAAAGTTATTGAGAGAGAGAGAGAGAGAGAGAGAGAGAGAGAGAGAGAGAGAGAGAGAAACAAGTGGGGGAGGGAAAGTATTGGTGCCTCTCCCCCTTTTCATAAGGACACCATTCATGTTGGATTAGTCCCACACTTATGATCTTATTCAACCCTAATTATAAAATACAGTCACATGGGGCCTGGCCATTGTGGCTCAGTGGTTGAGTGTTGACCCATGAACCAAGAGGTCACTGGTTCGATTCCCAGGCAGGGCACATGCCTGGGTTGCTAGCTCGACCTCCAGTAGTGGGCATGCAGGAGGCAACTGATTGATGCTTCTTTCATATCGATGTCCATCTCTATACTTCTCCCTTCTAAGAAGCAATAGAAACATATTAAAAAATAAATGAATAAGTACAGTCACATAGGTGTCAGGCCTGCAGTATATAAATTTGGGGGCACAGTTCTGTCCATAACACCAGGTGACTCACCAAAAGTTCCCCAGAGATAAAAAATAAGTCCCCCATGCCCTGACTGGTTTGACTCAGTGGATAGAGCATCAGCCTGCGGACTGAAGGGTCCCGGGTTCGATCCCAGTCAAGGGCATGTACCTTGGGTGCAGGCACATCCCCAGTAGGGAGTGTGCAGGAGGCAGCTGATTGATGCTTCTCTCTCATCGATGTTTCTAACTCTCTTTCCCTCTCCCTTCCTCTCTGTAAAAAATCAATAAAATATATTAAAAAAAAATAAGTCCCCCCAGGTGACAGCTGCTCAGGAAGATGAACATTTAACCACTTTGTTTATACTCAATTCAATTTCCGTTCTACCATGATTTCTTCTAACCTTATTCTTTTTTCTTTCCATCTAGAGGACGAAGACTTTGTTGATGCGGTTGAGTATTTAATGGACCCAAGGGACAAAGAGAAACTGCAGCGCCTGCTGAGTGATGAATCCTGGAAGAGATTTGTGGCTTCAGCCGAGCTGTCCTGGTAACCTCCAGGGGATGCCTGTGTTGTCACGCCATCTCCCCTGCATCTAGATTCCTCTGGCAGGCACACTCCTCCAGCAGGGTCCTGAGTTTGGGGTTGAAGAAGTGTCTTTTCAACAGTCCATGAGGAACATTTCCTTCATATCATTCATTGGCAGAGAAGGGCCTTAGGATGAGAAGAGATGAGGCCTGCAGGGGGAGGGTTACATGACCTTGGGCCTGTTACTTAACCACTCTCTGTCTTACTTATCTGTTCTATTTCATAGTGAGGAAAATAAGATAATGCGTGTAAACTGTTTAGCCTAATGACTGACACATAGTAGGTGGACACTTGACATGAACTTTTAAAAAGATGCTGGGAATAGACAGGGCCCAAGGGTCTTCCTGTTGGATGTGCGAGCCACACAGGACGTCCTTTGGGACAAGCCAGGAAAATCCTGGCACAGTGTGTGTCCCTGGGGATTGTGGCCAGAGAGCCTGCTCTCCCTAAGAAAGGGATTGTACAGACTCTGCAGGGTCCTGCTGGCCTGGAAGGCGGAGAGCTGGAGTGAAGCTGCACCGTGTTGGGTTGACTCCTGACCGTATCTCTGCCCAGCTCTGGGCTTATGTCATCTCCCTCTTCAATGGAATAGCAAGTCCATCTGATAGGCCTATGGTGAAGGCCTTGGGGTGAACTGCAGGGTCCAGGGCGAGGAAGTAAGTGCAGTCATCCTGTCTGGAGGCCCAGAGAGGCCTGGAGCAGGGGCAGAGCCCGGCATCTGGATGGAGCAAGGGTGGTCCAGGTGGGAGGATGGTAGGAAGGCTTGGCAGTGGGGCTGGGACTACAGTGAGGCAGCTGAGGCACCTGGCACAGGACTGAGGAGGCCAGGGGCCTAGTGAAGGGCTGTGCAGGGGGTCAGGGGGCACATTTCTTCCTTCCCTGATTTGATCCCCTCTCTGCTGGGGGTAGAGGGCTCTAGGTAATTATGTCCTCTAACCCTGTCTGTGAGCTGGAGGGCTCCTGACCTCCCTGTGGGATCCTCTTCTCTTTTCCATGGGGTAACCCAGACCAGAGGGAAGGCAGTGAGGCTTAGTGACCGCTTCCAGTCAGAACGGGGGCTGCCAATGTGGTGTCATCTGAGGGATTCTGGGTAGACCCACACGTTCCCACCATAGAGGACAGGGCTTCCTGCATGAGCTCATCCAATTAGTGGTCTCAGCTCTAGCGATTCATACACCTGCCTTCGTTAATCGCCTGTCCTTCATGATTGCAGGGGTGAGGCAGATGCACTCTATGCAGACTTGCGCCAGCTGGAAGCACTCATGGCCGAGGAGGACAAAGACATGCCCTCAGCAGACCAGCTGCATCGGGAGAGCTTTATGAAGGAGTTTCCTCAGGTGAAACAGGACCTTGAGGAACGCATACGAAAGCTCTACGCACTTGCGGATGAGGTGGACAAGGTGCACAGGGACTGCACCATCTCCAAAGTGGCGGCCTCTTCCACCGGTGTTGTGTCTGGCATCCTGACCATCGTTGGCCTGTCTCTGGCACCTGTGACAGCAGGGGCTAGTCTGGTGCTTGCGGCAACTGGGGCGGGACTGGGGACAGCAGCTGCTGTGACCGGTGTGACCACTGGCATCGTGGAGTATTCAAAGAACAAGTCAGCAAAAGCCGAAGCCAGGCGCCTAGTGCCAACTGGCAGTGACACAGAGAAGGTGGTCGAGAAGGTTGTAAGTCGCAGCACACCCAAAATTGCTTCCTTTGCAGTGAATTGCTACCAATCCGTGAAAAATATTGTGAAGAATGCCCGTGCCTTCAATCTGGCCAAATCCAATCCTCTCTTAGCAGCTGAGGCCAGGAGCTTCATGAGCACGGGGGCAATGTCAGCCCAAGGTGGCAATCAGCTGCAGAAAGCTTTTGAGGGCACTGTTCTGGCCATGAGCAAAGGAGCCAGGGTCTTTGGTTTTGCCGCTGCAGGTTTTTTCCTTCTCATGGATGTAGTGAACATAGTGCGAGAGTCAGTGCACTTACATAAGGGCGCAAAGGGTCACTCAGCTGAAGAGTTGAGGCAGCAGGCCCAGGAGCTGGAGTGGAGGTTGGAAGAACTCACCCGCATTCACAAAAGACTACAGAATCCCTGACTTCATGATCCCCAGACAGAGCAGGGAGCAGGGGTGTGTGGGAGCAAAGGCATGGACTGACTTTGTTAGGAAGCATAGTAACCTCCATCTTGGGTAAAAACTGCCCTTTAAATTTAACCCTGCTATTCTGGCTTCTGTAAACGTTTGGGGGCTTAAATAATAGGGGAAAATAAGACTACTCCCCACTCCAGAGAGGCCATAAACTATGCCCCAGACAGAGTTGTCAGTGCTGGCGCCAGGCCAGGCCTTGAGGTATGGTCTCACGGCTCTGGCCCAGCACACAGGACTTTTACTCAGAAGGTCCGGAAGTCTTGTTCCAAATTCGGAAGACAAAAAGCTGAAAAACGTATAAATAGAAAGGACTCCACCATATTGGGCCCCAGAATTTGAGAAGCAATATTTCCTGTGGGCCTGCTAGTGTTAGCGAAATGAAAAAGACTCCAAATAAATTTGGCTTATTGAGTAAGGCAGTGGTTCTCAATCTTGGCTGCACATTTGAATCACCTGGGAATCTTTTTAAAATCCTGATTTCTGGGCCTCATCTTCCAGAAATTATGTTTCTTTGTTACTAATGTTTTGGCCCCACCCCATAACAAAGAAACAGAATTTCTGGAGGATGAGGCCCAGAAATCAGGATTTTAAAAAGATTCCCAAGGAGAAACCAAGATGGCGGCATAGGTAAACACCGGAGATTGCTGCCTCGCACAACCACTTCAAAAAGACAACTAAAAGACGGAACGGACATCACCTAGTACCACAGGAAGGCTGGCTGAGGGGAAATTCTACAACTAGAAGGAAAGAGAAAAGCATACCGAGACTCAGAGGAGGTGGCTGCGGAAGTAAAATACAAAGGTGCGGAGGTGCGTGTGGAGCGGGCTGGTGGCTGAGGGT